GGGGAAATGATTGCAGCTGTATGAAGAGAAGAGCACACGGGACACCTGCAGGGCTGGGGCCGGAGGGAAGAGCACACGGGACACCTGCAGGGCTGGGGCCGGAGAGAAGAGCACACGGGACACCTGCAGGGCTGGGGCCGGAGAGAAGAGCACACGGGACACCTGCAGGGCTGGGGCCGGAGAGAAGAGCACACGGGACACCTGCAGGGCTGGGGCCGGAGAGAAGAGCACACGGGACACCTGCAGGGCTGGGGCCGGAGAGAAGAGCACACGGGACACCTGCAGGGCTGGGCCGGAGGGAAGAGCACACGGGACACCTGCAGGGCTGGGCTGGGTGACATCGGGTACAGGTGACCAGCAATCTGGACCAGCAGAGTGGGGGGCCCACCATGGGCACAGCAGCCAGACAGGGTGATGGCCGTGCAGGGAGGAACTTATGCTTGTATGAGGTTAGATTTCACTACAGGAAGCCACAGAAGCTCTGTACCTGTGAGCTGACAGACGAAGGTCTCAGAACAAGGTGTAGCTAAGGGGCCAGAGACTTCAGAAGCCCAGTTTCGGATGGTTGGTAACGCCCGGTCGGCGTGGCTCAGTGGTTGAGCATCGACCCTGCACCAAGAGGTCGCCGGTTTGATTCCCGGTCAGGGCACCTGCCCAGGTTGTGGGCCCATCCCCAGTGGGGTCATGCAGGAGGCGGCCAATCAATGTTCTCTCTCATCGATGTTTCTCTCTCTCTCTTCCTCTTCCTTCCTCTCTCTCTGAAATCAATAAAGAAGAAAACTGTTTCATTGTCATACACTGACCTGTACATCTAAGGAGAAGACTTTGCCTGTCTGACCTCCCACCCCCGCAGGGTCAGCTGGCCCTTCCCCTGAATGGCACGGTCGTCTCTGCTTTTCCTGCCCCACCTACGAGAGGCCACAGCCACACTGTCTTCCCACGTGCAGCCCAGCTCAGCCTGGGAAATGACAGGCAGGGGATGCGTATCTGCGAAACTAGCAGAGCCCTGCTGCTCAGAACTGGACATGAGAGCAGGCACGTTCCTCCACGTGCAGACGTGGGAAGCAGGCGAAGCCGTCCAAGGAAACATCAGTCAATAAGCAACGAATGTTGAAATACATATGTATTCGCATGTGATCGTGCACATAGCTTAAAGGGGTGTTTCTAACATTTTTAGAGACCCTGATGTCGTTGAAAATCCAATGACCTTCTGACTCCCTCCTGAGAAGGGTGCACAAACACCCAAGGGTCTCCAGTGCATTATCAGAGGAGTCACAGGATCCATGAGATGACCTTTGACTGATGACTGCTGCAAAACCAGGGGCCACCTGAGCCCCAAAAGAGAACTTTTGCCTAAAAATAACAGCATCAGTTGGTTGTGCATTGAAAATTACATTTCCTTTAAAACAAGAAATGACAGCATGAACTGTCGGATTATAAAAGACTGCATCTCCAAGGAAGCATCATGATGCAGGGGGACAGGTCTATCGGGTGAGTCCATGAAGCTCGACAGCCCTGGGGCCGAGAATCCACTGCGGAAGGTCCAGCCCAATCCTCTTTTTTAATAATTTTTTTTAAAATTGATTTTAGAGAGAGAGGGAGGGAGAAGGAGAGAGAGATAGAAACATCCATGAGAGAGAACATCAATTGGCCGCCTCCTGCATGCCCCCCACTGGGGATTTGGCCCACAGCCTGGGCAGGTGCCCTGACTGGGAATCGAACCGGCGACCTCTTGGTGCGTGGGTCGACACTCACCCACTGAGCCACACCGGCCGGGCCAGCTCAGTCTTATCACCTCAAGGAGAGGAAACTCTTCCCTCCATTGTACCTGCTAAAATACCGTGTTATTTCTCCTTGTTTCTCAAGCAAAGAAAATAAAGAGAACGTGCTGCTTTAGACATTACTTTGCATGACAAGAATCTTGCTAAAGTGGAGACTTAGAATCAAGAAAACGTACAGCGCTCAGCAGCTCCCAGGGGCACAGAAGGGCGTTGCCCAGACGGGGACGTTTCTAACCGGGTACGAGGTCAGATAGAGACCTGGAAGTCGCTGGGTGACGGAGTCCGGCGGCTAGTTCAGTAGCGATAACCCGACGAAGCAACGCCAGCCCCCGCAAGGACACCCCCGCGGGCTGCAGGATGCACCCTCGCTCTTCCAAGCCAAGCTATCAAGGGCAGCTTTTCAGAAGGTGACGCATGAGGCACCCGGTCGGGACTAAACATAAAAATGCACTTACTTTTATGATATAGATTAGACATAAAATGTACTAAAACCGCAAGAGAAAATGGTACAGGTGTCGTGACAGTTGCGGGGAAGCTGGGTTGTGAGCAGGACAGAATGAGGGGGAGAATCAGGCAGAGGTGAGCCGAGCCACTAGTCCACTGTGACGAATGAATGGACAGAGGACAGGCTGGCCACAGCGGAAATCATCTCGAAGAAGACGAAAGAGATAAAATATCAGACTGTGGTAGCAACCAATACGGACCATAGGAGAGAAAGGTTGAAGGGAAAAGGGGCGCTGTTCTGAGCAAGCAGGTAGACGGGCTGTGCGGGCAAAGCAGACGAGCCCCACCTGGGTTTTCGGATCAAACAACAGCCCTAAGAATGGTCCAGGGTCGTCCGTGTGTTCCTAAAAATGTATGAGTTTAAGGAGATCTGAGAATCCATGTGGAGAACAATCTTTAACTGGCTGTTTTTCTCCTAAACCTCTCCAAATGCAGTTTCCTGAGGTCATGAAGAGAAATAGCTTTGGGGGTTGGAGGCCTAGGAAGGGGGTGGGGCAGAGTGAGGGTCCAGGTTGGGATGGGACAGGCAGTGGGTGACAGAGCGAGACATGAGGGGAAATATGCCCAAGGGCGAGTGATGAGAGGAAATAAACCCTGAAGGACGCCAGTGGGGACCTCCAAGAACATGGGGACCCCCAAGAACATGGGGACCCCCAAGAACATGGGGACCCCCAAGAACATGGGGACCTCCAAGAACATGGGGACCTCCAAGAACATGGGGACCTCCAAGAGGTCTGCCACAGAGGCCGCACACCAGAGGGCGGGTTGTCCCTGACCCCTGGGATCATCCATCACGACCTTTCCAAGCAACCCCAGGTTTCCAAAGCATTCGCAAAACCTCACTTTACGGAGACAGGCAAGCTGCAACAGTGTTCCCTGGGAAGGCAACAGGAACAATGAATCTTTCCGGTTGGAAAACCTGAACTATTGGGCCACGGAGTGACCGGGGAGCTAATGAGCTCCTATGAGCTCCCATGAGCAGACAATGCCAAGCAGAGGTTAACTTAGCTATTCACCCCAAAACGCCGCATAAAGCAAATGACGTATTTGGAGGAGTCAGATTTAGAGAGAAGAGAAGGGCTAATTAACCAGAGGGCAGAGGAGCAGAAATTGATGACTGAGGCACTGGAAAGAGCGAGATGCTTGTAAAATGTTTGACCACCTGTTTCTTCTGAGGAACAGCAGAAAGAGCCATAAGGCAGTGGCCAGGAAGGAAAACTAAAAACACTAAGTGTAGTGGCACTGAAATAGGTCAAACGTACATATATCATCATCATCTGGACTGTGTAGCAGTTTAGCATCAGGTTCTCAGCAATAACTTTAAAAAGGAGCATTTGCGTAGAGCCGGTGACAGCAACCGAGCGTGTCTCTCAGGGACAGAGGGGACTCCTCCGCTCTCCGGCACGGATTGTTCGAATACTCTGGCCTTCAGGTACGTACCTGGAATCTACGGACAGCACGCGGGAGAGAGGAGGCAACTGATCCCTGAAAGTGAATTCACACTTATTTCCAAAAAGGAATAGTAGCCACGAAACACAGCCACACAGGCCCTCGCCAGGTGGCTCGGTTGGTTAGAGCATCGTTCCAATGTGCCAGGGTTGCAGGTTCGATCTCTAGTCGGGGCACATACAGGGGTCAGTCAATTAATGCACAGATAGAGCAACAAATCCCTCCCTCTCCCCACCCTCACCCCCTTCCTCTGTCTAAAATCAAGCAATCAAAATTAAACACAGCAACACGATCCCCAGACTGCCTCCGCGGCACAGGAGATTTCTCCCCCTACCCTCACCTCGACTGGCTCATCCGTCAGATGAGCACCCTGGTCCTCTTCAAAATAGTCCTTTGGTTCTTTGCTAAAATGTACTCATATCTACAGAGCCCTGTATTGTAAAAATGAATAATTTTAAGAAGCTGCTTTTTAAAAAAAAATAATTAAACAAAAGAACATTAAACGTGTCAGTGCAGTAAGGATAAGACTCCCAGAGAGACGACAAAGGATCAATGGGGTGAGGCCTGGCCACTCGTCCCCAGGGGGAGCCGAACAGGCCGCCTGCTGCCCTTCGCGAGACTCACACTGAAGATCATGAGCTCCATCATCAAGCCACAGAACGCACCCGGAAAGCTCTAGCTAGGGAATCTTAAAAGATACCAGATCACAAGTCTGCAAAATGGGAAACAATGGTTGAGAGCAACAAAGGACGCTACTCGAAATCACCGTCTCCTCGTCATAACCTAACGCGTCATGTTTGAGAACGTAGTGTAACGTAGCGATGAGCACATCATACATATTACTGCTATATCAAAGTAAATTTTTAAAATTATTCCTCGAAGGAACCATACGTTCCAAAGACAAATGTTTCCCGTGAAATCTGTCGCTGGCAAAGGGACTCATCGCCTGGACTTGCCCACACTTCGTGGAGAAAAGGCACCGGAGGGGCTGGGAATCAGAAGGCGACATTCCGAGCTCCGGGGGCCAAGGTCACATGCCGGAGGCGCCTGGGCCAGGCTGGGACAGCGGCTCCGGAACCCAGAGCCCACGCTTCTCCCACTTTGAGCCTCCCTGGAAACATCACCTTAGGAACCCACTGATTCCAAGCGGAGCCTCGCCTAAAACGGAGGAAACCGTGTGGACGGCTGGAGTTCAGACCGCCCTGGCCAAACCCCCTGCACTGTCCGGGCACCACCCCGAGAGGCGTGCGGGCTGCCGTGACTCACCAATGAAGTGATTGGGTCCCAGGGCCAGCATCTCCTCCAGGAGCACCAGCCCCCCGGGGGCCTGCAGGAGCGTCACGCTGCGGCCGTCTATGAGCGAGCACTGCTGGAACCCCGCGGCCGTGACCTTCCACAGCAGGATCAGCGAGGCGGTGGCGTCCTGCCGGATCCTGGAACGGGAGCAGTGCAAGTGGAAAGTCCCATTTAGAAAAAGTCACCTCAGCACCAGTCCCTCAGATGAAAACTAAACACAGAGACGACATGTACATCCACAGAGGGTGTGCGCGGCACGGCGGTCATTACCCACATGGGTGAGGAGCGTCTGGCTCCCACTTGCCCAAAAATAGACTCACCTTCTGGTAACCATTCTAATCTATAAGGAAGAGGTGTACTGAGTTCTTTTAGAGACAAGTCCTTCCATCTCCACACAGTAGAAAGGACCCCTCTTGAACTGATTACAAAGGTGTCATGCAGCCCCAAACAGCCACCTGAGGTGTGCTGTCAAAATAAGCAAAACGGTGTCACCTCCCATGCTTCAGGTCTCCCCTGGCTTTTTCTTGTTTTCAGTATAAAATCCAGAGAATGAGATGCCATAGAGATTCATCAAGCTCGGCCTCAGTTTCCCTCTCAGACTCTAAACCTCCATCCTTGCAACCAGGGCTCAGGCAACAGGACTACTGCCTCTCCCCCAGGCAGGTGCCGGCACAGCCCTGGTCCGCCTCCTTCCGCCTGGCACAGTCAGGCTTAGCCCCACACCCCCTCGTGTCCGAGACCCTGCCTCACCATCTTCCCATCACCTTCCCTTTCCTCCTGTGCTCCCAGGGAACCAGGTCTCTACCGGGGGGGCAGAAGGGTGCTCTGGAAGGAACTGATAAATGACTGAATTTGTGAGTGACTCAGAGGGCAAGGGGTTAGTAACCCTCCCAGGAGAATTCAGGGGGCCCGAGGTCATTGAGCCCTCGGCCTGGGTCAGACTCTGCTATTCCCACCCAGCACTGCAGCCTAAGAGAGCCTTGGAGAATTTCAGGTTTGTTTAGGGTTGGGGGGGCATTTAAAGGGATAGAAAATTAGAACTATCCCAAAAGGTTTATGAAAGTAAGACAGTATGACCCAGACCGGTGGTTTTCAACCAGTGTGCTGCAAGAATTTTTTAAACATGCAATACTTGACTATTTAGTCAGGGGCACTGACCTCTTTTCCCTCAGATCTTCAAATAAAAAAAATAGATATAGCAACAGCCAACACAACAATAGCCATCCGGTGTGAATGAATCAAAAGCATACTTATTTTTTTGTCTCATCGGCAATATATATATATATATACATTTTTTTTTTTTTTTGGTGTGCCATAGAATTTTAGGAATTAGTTTATGTGTGCCATGAGATGAAAAAGGTTGAAAATCACTGATGGAGAGAAGAAAGGGCTGGGAGATGGTTTCATAAACTAATGAACTAATGAACCTCATTTCCCTAAAACCAGCTCAGGCCAGTGAAGCTGCCACCTGTACTAGGAGCGTGAAATACTTAGGACGGGGCTCCCCCTGCTGGTAGAACTCGAAGCTGCCTCAGATGCCACACCTCTCTGGCTCTGGGGACTTCCCTGTGCCCCAGTTCACTGTCCCTCCTGGCTCTTCCCCCTCCTCCGCCACCAGAGCGCGTCAAGGCTGGGGGAGGGGACGCAGGGGCAATGTAACAAAGCCCCTCTTCCAGACATTTTCCAGGGACCCTATTGCTGGGAAGGCAAGGTGGGCAGAAATGGACCTGGATAAATGGAAGGGGTCTGTAACATCTGCTGCTCCCTTAAAAGGGAGCCAGTGCAGCGAGCCGGGTAGGCAGGTCCCTCGTTCTTCTACACTCTCTGGAGACTGGACAGAAGATGACCACTGGTTGCATGGGAGGGGTGGTGGAGAGGGTGCGGTAGTTAATAGCAACGGAGAAGGTCAGGCAATGGAACTGTCAGTCAGGCCTGGGACTCTCTAATGCTGACTGCACCCCAGTCCCAGCAGGGTACACAGCAGGTACTCTGCCCACCTGCTTCCCTTTGCCTGACCCCGTCCCCACCAGTGACAATGTCATTTGAAAGAGCTTAAGTTTAAAATAAAACGAAATGCTCTCTTCTCAGCTATTTGTTTTTTAAAAGAATATTATAACGTTTCCATTTTAAATGTGGGGTAAATTATGCATAAGAATTTAACCAATGGTCCATTGACATCTTAAGAGGCCAAAGAACGTTGGAAGCATAAACCATCTGGGAAGTGAAGGGTCTGGCTCTGGGTCTTATCTAAGGCCTCAGGGTTTCTCACCTCACATCTGACTCATCCAGTCCAATTCCATAATTCTGTCTCCATCCTGGTGGGACCCCGACTCTACTAGTCTCCTCTGAAATAAACAGCACCCTCCAGTTTTTGAGGGACACTGGCCACGTCTACACATGAATCTCCTTGCACGATTCTCGGCACAGACCAGTTACCGACGAGCTACAGGGAGAGACGCAGCCTAGCATCCAGCCACAGTATCGACCCACCAGTTTTGAACTGAGAACTTTCTTACTTGACTGAGGTGTTCTGTGGCACTTCAAAGGACACCAGCCGGCCGCCCGCAGAGCTGTTAGAACTGGCATTCCCACAGGCAACGTCTGGAGTCACCTGGGAGAGAAAAACAGGCTGTTCATAGCCCAAGATAATGTCATAGAGCACACTGGCATGAGATGCAGCCCTCTGTTCCTTTCGATGATGCCGGGGTGGCAACAGAGAAGAGACAAATGAAACCTGACCAACTCAAAAGGAAATGACAGCGTTGCATTTGAGTTTCTGAAATGTGAACGTTTTCCTGGGAATAGTCTACCCTCGGCGGACATGGAAGAACTGATCATAGGATACCCCAAGAGAGGGCTCGGGGTCACTCCCTGCCCTACATGTAACAAGCCACTGGCCTCTGCTCACGCCCAGGCTGGGGGGGTCCTCAAGGGACGCAATGCTTAGGGAACACAGAGGAGCCTTCCAGGACTAGCTTACACACAGTGGGTCTAAACCCTAACGGCAGGGAGAGCGAGCCTTCAAGTTTAAAGGAACCATCGCCAAGAAGTGTCTGGTCTGAATGACCCTGCCCTGTGCGGAGATGGGTCTCAGGATGTACGAAGGCCAGGTAACCGGGTAGCTGCCCTTTGTCCCCCTGTGGACTGCACCTTCGTTTTTTAAGTGAAGCATTCCCGAAAGTGTTATACGATGTGTCCAAAACAGGAGCCTGGGGGTGGAGGGAGAACTGTGCTCATCAGAAAGCACACTGTAAACACCTGAGCTGTGTCCGAGGAGGTGCTTCTGACCAGTTCGTTCATTTACTCCTCGGACCATGATCACTGCCTTCCCCCATGAAAGTCTAAATAAAAGGGTATTGAAAGTGTCCCTCGTCGCTGAATTAACTGAGGACGACACAGAAATTCTCAGCTCTTTCACCCGCCCGACACCTAGAACGCATCGACCAGAAGGCTCAGCAGTCAGATGCTACAGGTGAAGTCCACCGCGGACATTCGAGGACAGGAGTCCGACTCATTAAGCGTATGACCAGAGCTCCATAACTCTAGTTTCCCAGGGCTCCCCAGAGCCTCGGGCTCTCGAAGCACCATCACCCCCTGAGAAATCCCTCCAGCATTTTCAACCTGCGTCTTGAACAGCCTACAAAGTAACAGCAGGTCAGGATAATACGGCGTTTCTCTGCTACATGTAGCAGCTGTTGGATAGCATGTCTTTAAATAAATCGATTGAAACGGCTGGTTGGGAAGGACTTTTCTTTAAAGGACACTTCCTTGTAAACGTGGGACCGAATCTACTGCCCAGTCGAGAAGCCAGTCATTCGGCAGAGAGGTGTTGAAAGGTCACGTCGAAGCAGGCATTGACAGGCTGAGATCAGAACCGTGCACCGTGTTGCAGGTAGGCTAAGAGCACTGCTCTGCGGTCTGAATGTGGCCTTCAGAATTGTGTGGCGATGGGGGGAAAAGTGGGTCAACTGGTTATAATTACCCAAGAAAATGAGAGAAGAAACGCTGCCTTATTTCTTTTATAACATCGGAAATTTCTAGACACATTCCTTCACTCTAAAAGCACTACACAAAGATCGATGCAGTGTTTTCCATTTAAGGTACAAAATCTGTAATAAAATGCAGCTCCGTGGCTACATGGATGTCATATAAAGTATAAAGCACGGAATGAAATCACACTGTCCGTGTCACCTCAAATTCATGATTTCCCTTTGCTCCCAAATTCTTCCAGCCAGCAAATTTCTATTTTATGGCAGCTTCTAGGGGTGTGCTGAAAATTTTATAGTATACACAATGAGACTTTTGATGAGCTTGAAAATATAATAAGCCAGACCCAGAGTGTACAAGATTCAGTAAATAGAACTTGTTATTGACAAACTAAATAAAATTTGCAAATTTTATTCTCAAAACATTTTAGAAAGCAACAAATAAACAACGAAACCAAAAGTCATAGACACAGACAAGATCATGGTGATTATTAGAGAGAAGACGGAGGTGGAGGAGGGTAAAGGGGGGCCAAATGGTGAGGAAGGAGACTTGACTTCGGGTGGTGAACACACAATGCAACATACAGATGACGTATTATAGAATTGTACACCCGAAACCTATGTAATCTTATTAACCAATGTCACTCCAATAAAGTCAATAAAAAAGTTTTAAAAATCAATGATAGCTCTTTTTTCTCTAAATCCCATTGAAGTGCTACAAGCACCCAAACAATAACAAAACAAAAAAACAAGAGTCAAGCATAATATTCCATAAGTAAAATTAGGTCAACAATAGCAGGTCTGTGATATGTTCATGTATATGACTCTTCTTTAAGCTGTCTACCCCCAAGTCTGAGATTATCTGACAGAAATGCGTGTGGATATTGGTCCCCAAAATAAGTTCATTCCTTTTCTTTTTTTGATTACTCTTTTTATGCTCACGAAACAATCTCAGTCAAACTGTCTCATCTGTGTAACCAAGAGAGATTTCCCAAGCAAATATAGATGGGAATAAGATCGTTTGGTTGGGCCTGGCCAGTTTGGTTCAGCGGTTAAAGCGTCGGCCTGCGGTCCGGAGAGACCGGGGTTCGGTTCCCGCTAAGGGCACGTACTTCGGTTGCAGTTTGTCCCCGACCCTGGTTGGTCGTGCGGGTGGCAGCCACTCGATGTGTCCCTTCACGTTGATGTTTCTCTCTCTCTCTCTCTCCCTTCCTCTCTCTCCCTCCCACTCTATCTGTACAAAAAATGGAAAATTGTCCTCGGGTGAGGATAAAAAAAAAAAAAAAAGATCGTTTGGTTGCCCGGGTAACTTACAGGTTTTCCATTCTTATTGCTGATATTAGAACTACTGGAATTATCTGAACCTGGCTAATCCCTTCCATAAAAACACACACAGCAAAACATTCTCACCTCCACTTGATCCCACTTCATTTCTACAACTTTCTGGCCTGTTTTTGGCTGCCATGTGGGCAGGGTCACGGTTGCCTGAGAGCTGGGCAGGACGCTGTCAGGGTCCCGGGTAGCAGGGACAGGCGGAAGCTGCCTGGGTGGGCTGGCCTCGGTCCAGCCCGAGGCTGGGGCACTGGGACGTGCCTGCTCACAGTTCGGACCTTCATAGCCTTGAGTGCAAACGCAGAGGTAGCCGCGGCCGCTGCTGCTGCAGTTGCCATGGTGACACGGGTTGCTGGCGCAAGGATCCGCCACAATCTGAAAGGAGACCATAAATGGGTCAATTATTCCCTCGTAAGAAAAGTGCTGCCATGGCTGGGAAACAAGCTCGGTGCCGCAGGGCTGCTGTTCTGCTGGGTTACGCTTTCTCAACTCCTTGCGCTGTGGGGGGCAGCCTCCCAAGGTCACCCCAACATTGGCCTTGCCACAGGACACAGGCATCCAGCAAGGACACACCCAGAGTGGAGAAGAGCCTCCCGGACCTAAGGTCCTGCACAATGTTGCTTTCAGGAACACATTATTTAGAGAGATTTTTCTAAGCCAAAAATTGAGGCTTACTAAGAAAGCATCAACTTGGAACTTGTAGCTGTGCGTCATGACAAAGGAGACCAGGGATCTACAGTAAAATCTCCCCCAGCACATCCTGGCCTGTGGCGAAGCTTCCTCGGGCTGTGTATCGCTCCTACAGATGTACTCACCTCTCCGAATGTTCGACCTGATGAACAGAGCCTTCAAAGAGACTGGCTTTTAATTACAGGCTTCCACAACTGAGCGTGCATGGCAATTACACGCGGGGAGAGAGCACGGTGACAAGGGGGAGTAAGCAGAATCTTACGAAAGTTCCTGTCTCATCACTCTGGAGGGTGACTACAGAGAAATGTGACCCTGCTGGATATAGAAGATAAAATTCGCTTGCGCGTCTTTGAATCGCGTTCCTGTTCTACGTGTTTACTCCGAATCCTTTGCTGACTTCTGGGTGGCCACTCGCTGTCACCTAGAGATGCTAGCAGACAATGAGAAACAGAACGGTGCTTCCCGAGCAGCGCAAGGGCTCGGACCTGCGCTCCGTACTCAGGTGGCACGGCTGCTGCGATGACAGGAAAGCAGACCTGCAGCTGATGGGCCCCTGGCTCCAGGGCTGATCACAACAGAATTCAGGAAGGAACCGACTGCAGAGAAATGCAACCCCGGTGTCTCCCACTGAAACGGTTCATACTTAATTCTGCATGGAAAATGGCCACAGCGCTTTGCTAATTATCCTCATCAAACACTTTCCAACAAACCCCTTGCAGAATATTAAGGGGTTTAGGGTTGAATAAAATGAAGCTCCAAAAATATTGCATTGTTAATTCTCTGCTATCACCTGGCAATTCCTTCACAGAGCATCAGAAAAGAGTAGATGGATTGGTATCTGAAGAGCATATTTAAACTGTAAGTGATTTTAAAAATCTACAAGCTTTATCAACTCAAAGTAAAAACCAAATCCTTCCACAGCAGACCAAGCCCCCCCTGCGCTGACACCTTCCTACCCTGGAGTCCTCTCTCCTCACACGTTCCTCCTCCCTCCCCACTTTCTTTCTGTCCCTGGACTATGCCAAGGTCGTTCCCACCTCAGGGCCTTTGCACCTGCTGGGCTCTGCCTGGAAAGCTTTCCTCCCAAACTCTGCATGGCTCTGTGCCTCGTTTTACACAGCACAAGTCTAAGTGTGAGGGTCACTACTGCCACTGAATCCCCACTAAGTTTGAACTATAAGAAATAACCAAACTGTCAAAATGCATGAGGCAAAACATCATCATAATTGATGGACCTGACATTGGGGATACCCAAAATTTAACAGGCAACCTTTTCCTGGCTATAATTTCTAGCTCCTAATGATGGCCAGGGGTGGAGACTAAGACTTTGTAATATCAGCTATAAGCAGAGTGAGGGACAGCCCCGGTATAATGGGCTCCTGCTGACAGCTGCCCAACGAGCTCATTTATTAACTACTGTACACACGGTGCATCAGATTAATTCATCTGTTTAGGCTACATACTCTCACATCATAGGAGCAATCGGAAACTGTCCCATTTTGCTGGAGACTTTTCCCCGTGTCAAAGAATTCACTCTACAATCACAAGCATTTCGGTGGCTGTGTCCAGGGCGGCACGGGAGGTCAGACCTCAGTGAGACTGCCTGCCAACCGCAGGGACTCGGGATGGGAAGGTGTCTCGAAGGACACTTCAACCACGACCGCTTTTCCTTCCTTTAACTGTCTGTTGCCCATGTTTTTGGCTGTCCCAACCTCCTCTGCAACACACAAACGGAGATGAAAGGTCAGAGTTAAAACAAGTACAAAGAGGCCCGTGGATAAGGTTGTTAGACCCAGTAAGTCACAGCCAGCAGGTTGTCTCAACGCACAGGACACCTTCATGGGCACTCCCTGGGTAATGGTGGGGCTGGGGACACAGCTACCTCCCAGGGGGCCTCCAGCTGCTCGTTCAGAGAAGCGATGGGCTTTGCTACCGCTGCTCTGCTCTTACAGCAAACTCGTTATGGCTGGTGAGTAATTCAGGTGGCATCACCGGGCACCCCTGATAGGCAGGTAGGGTACCTAGGAGAGGGGTCAAGAAGAGGAACAAAGCCCAGTCTTGGTCCTCAGAGAGCTTGCGGTCCAGTAGAAGGGTCAGACACATGAGCTTGGACTTACCCTTGGCAGCCTAATGTCAATTAATACCCTGCTGAGAGGCAGTGTTGACCATGACGGTCATGTGCTTCACTGAGCTCCAGTCCCTACTGTTGAGAGACAGAACGGGTTCAGTAACTGCAGGTGGGAAATGAGCGGGTTACAAGCAGGGCCAGTGGCCGGTCCCAACAAAACAGAGGTCGCAAAAAGGCATTTTCTAGGGGAACACGGGGCCAGCTGAACCAGCAGAGTCCAGACACGGGCCCTGGTCCGCACAGTGGCTGAGAGCACGGGACAGGTTGCTTGACCCCTGGACACACACACCTGACGTGAAGGGCTGAGGCAGGACAGCTCAGGGCCTCCTCCCTCTGCATGACTTCAGTTTCTGTTGATGGCCACTCAGCTGTCACTGACACCGTTTTCAGAGGGTCCAGAGAAGCAGAGGACCAACCACCCCCACGCACCTGTCCCCGTGCTCAGTGGGAGTCGGCCGGGGAACAGAAGCGTGTCTGCAGAGTGCAAACCAACGCACACAGTCAGGAGGACCTGCAGGGACAGGAGAAACACGTCCTGTGACCCAGGCTGCACAGGCCACCGAGGGGACACAGCGGACTCCTGGATTCACGGAACAGTGAGGAGGAAGGTGTAAATTCAGAGGAGGATTCGTGTGGGGTGTGAAGAAACAAGTAGAATGGGCCATTTTTTAGTAATTTTTCTGAGCAGCAAATCAGTTCAGGGACTGTGCACTACAGACGTGGATAGAGCTGTAGGAAGAAGTCGGCTTATCGAGCAAGGGGCAGAAAGGAGGCTGTAGCCGGGCACTCAGACGGGGCTGGGGAGCTCTGCGGGGAGCCTGCCCTCCGCACTGTGGGGGCTCAGCAGGCCCCCTCCTCTCCACTTGCTAAGCCAGTCCAAGCCCTCCCTTCAGCAATGACAGTGGGGACAACCAAAGAGGTCTGCAGACGTTGTCAGTGCCTCCGAAGCCAAATCACCCCTTAAAGAAACAGACTGATATATCTTATTCCATTGAAATGTTTTAAAAATCGGTAGGCCTCCAGAAATGAAATCAAAAGGCAGCCATGTGGTGAAAGATAAAAACTGTACACTGTATTACAATGGACAAAGGCCTTGCCGACTCCTGGCTGTCAGTAACAGGGAGACACCTCAACACAAAGGGCAAAGAAATAAGCAAGCGATGTGCAGAACGATTTGTACACAATCATGCCATTTTCAATAGTTTTCAACACAAACAAAACCCTATATAGTTGTATGTATATAAGCACACATGCAAATTGTGAAAGCAGAATGAACCATGGTTTTAATAACTTGGGCAGCAGAACCAATTAAGGGACCTTTGAAAATACATATCCCCAGCTCCAAGCTGTTCCCGAAACCGCGAGGGTGGGGTCTGGGAACCTGAGCCTCTCGGTGAGTCCCAGGTTCTGACGCCCTGGTCCCAACACCGAAACCTAGTTCGTCAGTATGAACCAGGGATGGAGAACTACAACCGCAGGCCAAGCCCAGCCTGCTTCTGCAAATAAAGTTTTATTGGGACACGGCCCTCTTTACTGCGCCACCTCAGCCGCTGAGGCACAGCCATGCAGACAACCTGGGCCATGGATTATCCGGCCCCCGTCCAGACTAGACCGAATTTGGGTTCACAAAAGGCAGACACAGGTAGGGGGGTCTATCTGGGTAAACTTCAAAGAAGACAAGTTAGCACAGGGCCATGATCACACAGATAGCAATTAATACGTTTTCCTCCCCACCCAACTCCCTTACTGGGCTGGTGTACACCAAGCGTTTTGATCACAGAAAGGATCGTTCACGACAGAAGTTAAGGCCGAGAAGGGACCAGACGCCCTTTGGATCATAAGGACGTGACAATCAATCTGGGCACGTGGAAGGAATACCTACGCAGACAGCGCACAATGAAGTGAGACCTCTGTGAGGTCCACCCCCACCTTTCCTTCACCGGAAGGAGTGTGGAAACCTGCTCCCTCCCTCCCGCCCTTGGACTGAAGGAAATGCAGGTGAGCGACGGACAGCTCACTGCAGAGGCGAAACAGATGCCGATGGAACCCTGCAGGGGGGAGGGGGAGAACCACACCGACCAAGGGGCCTCGAAATAGCAGGACTGTCCACTCTTATGGGGAATCCAGTGAACAAGATAAACCAGCCAACAAAACAGAGACAGACTAGTAGATACAGAGAACAGACTGACAGCTGTCAGAGGGGTGGGGGTGGGGGCTGGGTGTAAAAGGCGAAGGAATTAAGCAAAAACAAAAAGCAAGCAAACAAACAAAAACCTCATAGACAGACCACAGTAAGGTGATTACCAGAGTGAAACATGGATAAAGATAAGGGAGAAGGGGGTAAAGGGAGATAATGGTGACAGAAGGGGACTTAAGTCGGGTGGTGAACGCACAATACCATATATAGAGGATGTATTATAGAATTGTACCCCTAAAACCTACATAGTTTTACTAACCAATGTCACCCCAAAACATTCGATGAAGAAAGAAGTACGTGACTCCGCCACGGTGCCAGCTCAGGACCAGCTCGAAACAAAGCCGGAGTTTCTCCCCTCGT